CACACAGACCACAGGTTGAGCGCCCCCTGCTGGCCACTCTAGCACCACTGCCAACAGCAACCTAGTTTTCCCATGTGGCCTCCCATCCAGGCACTGACTAGGCTCAGCTCTGTTTAGCTTCAGTGAGTAACAGGTCTTGGGCTGCAGGGTGACATGGCTGTGGCACATCAAGAAAATATATGTAAAACGTACACTCTTTCTGTGATTTTAATTTTTGATTTTCTGTCCAATCAAATGCTCTATAATCTGAAGTATCACGCTTAACACTTTAAATAACCTCAAAAGCTCTCTTAGTAGTATGTATTTACACTGTATAGAATATACTATGTAGGCGATAAACTTTTTAGTCTGTGTAGATATACTTTCCATCATAATAAGTTGTCATGTGCATCTTTGCAAGCCTCAAAGGCTCTATGATACAAAGGAAATGGTATTGGCTGCTTTTAAAAGAGGAGGAGCTAGTCAACTTGTCCCGCTCTTGTCATCCTGTTTCAAATTATGCCAAAACAATTAATGTTTCAAGACACTTCAGGGGACCTTTATACGTAAACTAGCTTTTAATGTGTGAGGGGTCTGGCTGTGGATCTGGTGCAGGGCATTCTAATCTGCATGCAATGCATTTTAATGCCCACACACACCTTAACCCTACCCCTCACAGGGATTTCACTAGCTTCATTGAGTTCATTGTGTCTAACATAGCATATCTGATATATGCAATCACAGCTTGCATCAAGGCTGCATCCAGATACTATTGTTGAATTTAGTACAATTTTAAGTTAACTCTGCCTCAGTCATGTTAATTATATACAGTTTATTTACATAAACGTCATATTATTTCAGATTTTTTAAATGTGTAGTCTTAAAGTTTTGCAGCCCTGCATTCTCAACCTAACCACATGCTCTACCACAATAGTTACTCTACAAAACCATCAAAAGAAACTCCTGTAAATATCAACATACCAAAACATTAAATAATAATTTATGATGCTCTGTTCATCTTGTGCATAAACACACCAAATAATACTTAAATCCAATATTTATCTTCCCTGTGCAGTCTGACAATAAGCATATGAATGACAAACCTTTATGTCAATTTAAGTCATATTTAAACAATTCTGTAGCTTGTGTAACTTTCTTGTGTTGGAATTATATATTATAACACATGAGGCATAATTATTTTAATTAGGTTTTTCTTTCTCCACAAATAATTACTGGATAAAAAGTCTCAAAATTGAAAATGTTATGTTGAAAAAAGTAAAAGTCGTTTAACAAAAGCTACAGTAAAGCTACATTTATAATATTTGTATTTATTTAAGGGTGCGGCACGATGGCTCAGTGCTTAGCACTGTTGCCTCACTGCAAGAAGGTCACTGGTTCGAGCCCTGGGTGGGTCAGTTAGCATTTCAGTGTGGAGTTTGCATGTTCTCCCCATGTTCACGTGGTGCTCCGGTTCTGACATGCGCTATAGGTGAATTGGAATTGTGAGTGTATGGGTGTTTTCCAGGACTGGGTTACAGCTGGAAGGACATCCACTACGTTTTATGTAGTGGATGTCCTTATGATATATGCTGGAATAGTTCATTCTGCTTTGGCGACCCCTGATAAATAAGAGACTGAGCTGAATGAATAAATGAATGTATTCAAATGCACAAAAAATCCTTCATTCATTAATTTTCAGCTTAGTCCCTTTATTAATCAAGGGTAACCACAGCAGAATGAACCACCAACTTCTCCAGCATATGTTTTACGCAGCGGATGCCCTTCCAGCTGCAACCCATCACTGGGAAACACCCACACACTCATTCACACACATACACTACTGCTAATTTAGCTTATCCAATTCACCTATAGCGAATGTCTTTGGACTGTGGGGGAAACCGGAACACCCAGAGGAAATCCATGCAAACAGTGGGAGAACATGCAAACTCCACACAGAAATACCAACTGACCCAGCCGTGGTTTGAACCAGCAACCCTCTTGCTGTGAGGTGACAGCATTACCCACCGCGCCGCCCCTGCACAAAAAATGGTAATGTATAAATTAAATAATTTATTATATACTATGTTAAACTGTTTTATTTTATTTTACATCAATAAGTCGTGGCTGCATGGCGGTACAGTGGGTAAAACAATCACCTCACAGCAAGAAGGTCACTGGCTCGAGCCTCAGCTGGGTCAGTTGGTGGTTCATTCTGCTGTGGTGACTCCAGATTAATAGAGGGACTAACCCAAAAAAAAATTAGTGAATGAATTAATAAATTACAAATGCTCTGTTTTATACATAAAAATGCTAAATATTAATTTTATTTCATTAATGAGAATCATTTAAACAGCCTAATGAAGGACTTACCAAAGTCATTATTGTAATTAGAAAAGGGTGATAAAATGGACATAGTTGTCCTGATAATATGTGAAATTGTAGAAGTGGGGGGAGGTTTGAAATGTAAAGTAGGCATAATCATTAAAGGTCTGATTATTAGAGCATGCAAGCTAATGTTTACATAATCCGTTTTACCATGATGCACATGAAGCCCACTGTGAACATCACAAAGATTATTGACACGGTCACACATTATCAGCACTGGTTTCTTTGAAAACTGCTGCTCATCAACCTATGGATTTTATATCTACTTTAATTGTCAAAATTATTGTTCCTCCTTATTCTTTTTCAAATATTTTCCAATTGATGTTTGACAGACCAAGGACATTTTCACAGTTTTTTCTATAAATCTTGTTTTCATCTGGAGAAAGTCTTATTTCTTTTAATTTGGCTAGATTAAAAGCAGTTTTCACGTTTTTAATTCATTTGTCTACAGAACAAACTACTGTTATCCAATAACTTGACTAATTAACTTGTTTAGTTCACCTAATACCTTCCTGTTTAAATAAGACTGTAATCTGAATACTAGTATCTTGCAAAATAAGATATAAATGCAAGAAAAATATTTTGCACTGTCACCATTCCAAAGTCAAAAGGAATTATTTATAAGAAATTAGTTATTAAAATCAGTATGTTTAAAATGTGTTGAACTCTGTTAAGCAACATTTGAAAAATATTATTATTATTATTATTATTAATACAATTATATTTATGATTGTTCTTGCATTTATTATTTGTTTATGATTATTATTAATACAATTATGTTTATAATTTTTATTTTATTTTATTGGCCTGCTAAAAAGTGCCATTCCATGCCGCTGAATGGCTTTTTCAAAATGAAGACTCCTGTCATTTATTAAAGTATTAGTCTCCCCTCTAGTGGTCATGATTCACCTCAGAGTAAATTCATCAAAACAATTCAACAGCACTGAGAGTGCAATAGGACACACATCTGATTTCTTTTTTAAGAAAAATGGATGAACTTTGTGAAAAAACAGGACTTCATTTACTGACAGAAACCATGCTAAGAATTTCTGTTGCAGCATCTGATTTAAAAAGCATCATGCCAAACCTTGGCCCTTAAAGAGATAGTTTACATAATATATATATATATATATATATATATATATATATATATATATATATATATATATATATATATATATATATATTCCTTACCATTTACCTACACTTAAGTGGTTCTACACTTTTATGAATGTTTAATTTTTCTTTACACAAAACAAGATGTTAAGAAGAATATTGAAAACCAGCAGCCATTGACATGAATCCATAGTAGTGGCTGCTGCTTTCCAACATTTTTCAAAATCTCAGGTTTGAAACAAATGGAGGTAGAGTAAATGACATAAATAATATTAAATATGTGAGGGTTACCTCATTTCTGAGTTTCTAAACGTTTACTGGGTAAGCATCATGTTGTGACACGTGCTTGTGCAAGACTGGCATGATTTTATCTACCACAATGTGTAAATATTATCACTGACTTTTACAATTAATATTTTTTTCTTCAGAATATCCTGCTTTTGAAGTCTTTTTGATGAGAACAGTATGTTTTAGTACCACCACAAATTGTCTAGCATGTGTAGTGATTTGCAAATGGATTTAATGCAATCCATCCATTAAATTTAACCAAATATCTCTACATGCACTGTCCTAACACAATATGTCATTATTCTGAAACATCTGCTAATCTCATTTGAAAACGCAGGATTTTGAGGTGTAACACTAAATTGATTTTTAGATTGGGTCAAAGGTAGTGCCCTCGTTAACAAACACAGGGTCACACTTTGTCAATAAAATGAGCTGTTGATTTACTTAAACAAATATAAACAAGTAATTGAATTTTAACTATATTGATTTTTAATGAAGGACACTAAAGATTCCTATTGATAAAGAAAATCACTAGGTGAAGCTGTCAGATGTGATTTAAAGGGACATTCACCCAAAAATGAAAATTCTGCCATAATTTACTCACCCTTCATTTGTTAATACCTGTTTGAGTTTCTTCTATTGAACACAAAAGATGATATTTTGAAAAATGGTAGTTAAATGGCAACCACTGACTTCTATATTTTCCCAAACCATGGAGGCTTTTGGGTACCAGTATTTCTAAAAATTTTTTTTTGTGTTCGACATAGGAAAAAAAACTGGAAACAACTTTTTTTAACTGACATTTTTAGCCTTTTTGACTTTTAACCAAGAGAGCATTGACATTCTTCAATGCTAGTAATATTTTGCATGACAAATTGAAAATATTAAACGTTAAAAGTACTTTCTTTCTTTCTTTAGGGGTGATTCACTACTAACAATTTAACAGCTTTATTTCACTTTTTGTCATTTCAACTTTTAAATGAACAAAAGAGTAACAATAGTATCTGGATATCTTTCGAAATACTTAGCTTTCTCCATCAGCTGTTCATAATTTATTAGGCAATCTTTTCTTTCGAAGAAACGCAGGCAGGCTTTTTATTATTTCTTTCTCCTTGTGTGTTCCATTTGACTTCCCATAGGAAGGAGGAGGAACATCCTTCCTGGACACACGCTCTTATTGGCTGCAGTCGAATCCTAGCGTCATCACGCACCGTTGCCAAACAATGGGCAGGAAAAAGCCACGTTGACGAAGTCGACGGTAGTCTGCGTTATTTTTCTGCCAGGAAACTGAAGGATTGTTTTTTTATTTAGAAGACAACGACGCGACTCTTTGGAAGAAGCGCTTGACAGCAGCCATGTCATCGCCGCCCAAAGAGAAAACCGAGACCAGAGCTGGTCACCTTCCTGCTGGTAATGCCCATGAGCTACTGCATCTGCTGCTTCTGTTGTTGTTTTCTGTAGGAAAGCCTAACGTTAGTCAATCATTACACTAAATGGCACCTTTTTGATTCGGAAAATATTACTTTTAAAAAATAAAATTTGTACAGATTGTATGCATTGTTTAAAATTTGTTATTAACGTGTATTGTGCCATATATGCTTGTATGTAAGCAAATTATTATGAGACATTTGCTGGGCAAAAGTCACATGGTTAAGGGGTTATTTAGTCTCGTGCTCAGGGTTATGAAGACGCATTCCAAATGTTTTTAATGCAGTTTTTACTCTGGAAAGAGATTGAGGTAAAGTTGGTGTTATATTCACACATTCTGACGTGCTCTTTGATATTATAATTTCAGGAAGATATTCTTTGCTTAACTCTAAAATGAAATCATATTAGCAGCCAATGACTATGAAAGTACAACATTGTTCACAGTCAAATAAATAGTGCTAATGTTGTTTTCAAGATTTCAAAACGAATACTAATTTAAAATTAAGGAAGTACTTTTATTTTGAATTATTCCAGTGTCTTTTGTATATGTATATATTTAGTTTTCTGGGTTTTAATGAGCAAAGAGTAACAATTATAATTGTTTACCAAGATTTATAGAAGATGCCAACTAAAAGGTCATTTAAAATAACAATGTCAAAATTGTCAGGCAAATTTATAACGAAAATTATTAAATGACTTTTAAAAAAGATAATTGTGCAGCCCCAATTGCTGAATTACTAATTCTTTTAATTATAATTGGTTATTAATCATATTAAAACCTCTTAAAGTCAAGTGCTATTTTGTGGTTTTCGCCAGGATTTTGCCTACCCAAATTTAAAAGCTTCCCAAATCCACATGCAGAGGTATAAATGCAAAAGTCTGGTATCATTTTAAAGAAACCCCTTTGAATTTTCATAAAACACTGTTCAAAGTGATTAAAATAATTGTATATGTTGTCTACGCAGAGCTTTAATGATATTACCCAAGTACTAATCACTAATAAAGTACTAATATAGTCATTTAATAATAAATTTAGCAGATTTGTCATCAAAATGTTTAAATCATTTCAAATATAATATAAGCTTATAGTGATTCCTATATCTTAAATGTATCTTAATAAGTTCATGTCAGTATCTTCATTAATTTTTCAAATAAATGTAAATGTTGATCTGAATGATAATAAAAAATAATTACACGTTTTTTTTAATTTTAGAGCAGGCACTTGCATTTAGTATGAACTCTGTGTGCATACAATCACCTTTGTTAGTTTAATTTGATGCAAACACTGAAGTGTTATGGAATTTTTTAGCTTTTTTATTTTTGCTGTGGGCAAATATGTACTGGCAAAGTATTATCACATAAACATATAATTTTTATGTATGGTATGCAGTCCTGTATGTTTATAAATTTTGTTTAAATGTGCATCATTTCCACTGGGGTATATGCACACAGACTTTTAATTTTGTCCAGCCAACCTCAGCGCTTCCGGTGAACAGTCTTTCCATGAAAAAAATGCCACGTTTAAGGTCTGATTCCTTTAAAAATCAATTATCTTCACTGCCTGAGAGAGCAATATGATATAAAATGGGTCTGAGACGGGACAAGAAGCACTGCATTAAATTCCCTTTCCCCCACCATGTCTTTTAAATATGAACTTTTATTTTACCCCTAGTATATTCAATGGAGTTTCTGTGCTCACCTGCTGATCCTGACGGCGCTAGCAGTTACACCGTCTTTCTTGTTTTACGCTTGAACAACTAAATGAATGCTTAAGTCTGTTTAACTGAATGTATTTTAATTGCATTACAGCATCGAGGCTGTAAAAGAAACCTTATGTAAATGAAAATAGTCACATTAATCTTTAATTGAAGTTTGTCATTGGCTGAAAAACACTGTGGATGGAAGAATTAAAAGTTAAGAGTAAAGTAAAGTTTGGAAACATGGATTGAGGTTCTCCAACAATTACATTTAACAAAAATAGAATAAAGCCACTGATTTTGTGGCTAACGTGTCAAGAAAAATGCATATAATAAAAGTTGTTGACTGGATTTTGTTGTGTACACATTCACGAGGGATGTGAAAGGCAAAGGGAATGTCCCTACTTGAGCAGGATTCAACTAATGGAAAATGTTGCATGTTGCACTAGTCATTTGTTTCCAGCAGACAATATATGTTGAAGATTATGTGACACGCTATATATTTTTTTTATCCACTTATTTTGTTCTTCATGTTGTATTTCACTTTGTCAGCATATGTCAGTGCAGTGTAAAGTTCACAAGAAATCAGATAACGACCTGTGTGTAATCTCCCTAAAAGTAGGCCAAGGGACAAAAGATAGCATAAGATTGCGCACTAAACGGCCGCTTGTGATTTATATGTCAGTATATAATGAAAGCAATCTCATTTACCACCAGTGTCAGAAGATAAACTGTTGTTTTTGTTGTTGTTTTTTGGCAGTGAAAGCAGGAGGCATGAGGATAGTTCAGAAGCACCAGTCTCCAATTGAGGTGCCAGACAAGAAGGATGACAAAGACAGTACAGAATATGAGACTGTGATGTAAGTGTGCTGACCTTCACTTTTCTGCAGTATGCATTTCACTTCCAACTCTAAAATAAAGAGCTCATCTCTAACTTACGCCTCCACATTGACACATTGCTGTTTCTTCTAGTAAAGCACATGGTGGACTGTATTTTCAGCACAGACTTATCAGAGTCATGATTGCGCTCTTTATTGATTTTTTTTTTTTCTTTTTCTGAAGAATATATGAAGATTATCTAGACCTAAAATTATGCTAAAATAGGAACTACATTCTATAATGCTTGAGTTTGTAGCCTGAGAAATGATCCATTTCCTTTTCATTAATCAAATTATACATTTTTAGTGACTGTTTGCAGGTTTACACTTTTGTGATTGTTTAGTTTTTTTTTTTTGCACTCAACCAGCCTGTTCAGATCTATTTGGATAAATGTTTTCTGACCATAACGAGTCTTATTTTAAATGAACGATTGTTTATAGCATGGCTCTGTAGAAGCTTTTTGTTTTGTTTTCAGATTGGTTTACTGAATAGTGCAGTTGGATACTTTGCATAACAACACTGAACTATTATTAACGGTAGCCTAGTTTAGCTGTGTTAGTTTTATGTGTTGCATTGCTCTACAGTCTTCTCACATAATCAAAACATTTAAGCAGCATTGTGTACAGCAAGGTTATTTGTAGTAAATAAAAGACTAAAAGTATTGGTAAAAAAAAACATTTTTGTTAACTAAAATACATTTAAAACTGAACAATAAATGGAGAACAAAAATAAAAAAAACTAGTAACCGTTAATGAAAATGAACTGAAATAATAATTGGCAAAAATAATCGTTTTTAGAATTAATAAGCACTCGTTTTGATGAAGCAGTGGCACAGTAGGTAGTGCTGTCACCTCACAGAAAGAAGGTCGCTGGTTCCAGCCTCTGCTTAATTGACGTTTCTGTGTGGAGTTTGCATGTTCTCCCTGCGTTCGCGTGGGTTTTCTCCGGGTTCTCCGGTTTCCCCCACAGTCCAAAGACATGTGGTACAGGTGAATTGGGTAGGCTAAATTGTCCATAGTATATGAGTGTGTGTGTGTGGATGTTTCCCAGAGATGGGTTGTGGCTGGAAGGGTATCCGCTACGTAAAAACTTGCTAGATAAGTTGGCGGTTCATTCCACTGTGGCGACCCCAGATTAATAAAGGGACTAAGCCGACAAGAAAATGAATGAATGAATGAAGCACTCGTTTTGTTCCAGAATATCTGACCTGTGGTTATGGCGTTATTTCAATGACTAGTGTACCAATATATAAATTATATCAACATTCTTTGGGATAAATAATGTAACAGGAGGATCTTGAGAGCAAATGCTCAAGAGGATGAGAGAACACACGACAAATTGTGAGTGCGCCTCATCTCACTGAGCGAGAGCAGACAGTTCACATGTGAGTAGTGCAAATTTGAGAATGTGGGAAGGTTTGTGCACAAACAGAGGAAATCACATGCACGTATTGCATGAATGCCCTCCCGCCTTGTAATACTGCCCTTAAGTCATTTGTCATTGAAATAACAACATATGTATGTGTTTGGTGAAAAACCTGTGATGATGGTTTTACAACTAAACACACCAGTTAAGCACAAAAACACATTTTCCGTATAAACAAAAAACATGCAAATAAGGCATGTTTAGCAACATACAATGAAGCCTGAAATTATTTATAGCCCTGGCATATGACTTTTTTCAGGATTGACTGCATGTGATCTTTAAAATAAAAAGGTTTGTCTGAATTCTTCAAAAGTTTTACTTTTATTCATTTAAACTGCATTTGTATGGTTTTCAGTTCAGTATCATTTCAAACAATTGTTTTGTTTATGGTTCATGTAAGCTAGGGAAACATTAAAAGGCACCTATAAAATCATCTTTTTTAACTGTTTGGACAGAGCTGTGGGTGGGTAAAGTGTGTCCAGTTTTATTGAGGTGATAGAAAAACAATAAGTCTCTTTTTTTCAATATAGGATCTAAATCCCTTCCATTTTGAGGCCCACTACAACATGACGTAGGAGTGCAGTTTCCCCTCCCACCGAATTAATTGACAACCGCGTATTAACATGTCTCTGTACTACTGCGTATAATCATATAAACAAGACAGGATTGCAGAAAGCAACTGGGATTAAAAGACCTGTTCAGCTCTCTGTGATCATCAATCATCATCAAATGTAATCAAGAATGAATTTCACAAGTTTAAAACGTTTTTTTAAAACAGTGCATTATTGTAATGAATTACAGCGATGTTTACCGTCTTTATCACCACAGCCACGTGTCAGTACAATTATAAAAGAAGACTATTCAATCCTGTATTGTGGACGTTAAATCGGGTTTATTTTGCACATTAACATAACAGATATCGATACTGCAGTGGACATTAGCATGTTTTTTGTCACATTTGCTTTACAGACACATTCTGGAGACACAAAATACTTATCTTAATCTTAAAATAATGGTAAAATAGGTGCCCTTTAAACTTTGCTCTGGTCAACACTGGATGTGTTCAGTTTACTCTGCTAAACAATAACTATTCAAACTAAAACTGAAACTAAATATATTAAAGCTAAAGAGACATGTTCACTAAAGAGCAACAAAACTAAAACCATTAATGAAGCATACTAAAAATTATCAGAAATTTACAGCTAATTTAAAATACTATCAAAATGAAAATAAATTGAGAAAACTTTAAATTATAGCAACCTTGGTGTACAATCAGCGACTTATTATTTTGTCATGGAAACCTTTGTCTTTTTAAGCATTTCCTATGTTTAATTTGCTAAATTATAATTAAACTAAAAATGTACACAAACACATTTGAACGATGTTCTCCAAGTCAGCTAATTTAAAATGTATGATACAGTCGTTCTTCTAAGTAACCAAATACACCAACTGCAGGCTTTAGTAACACCATTTGAAACAGTAAAGTCTTATTTCGAAATTGAGTCAGAGTTGCAAAACGCTTGATCATTGACACAGGTGTCCAAATTCCCATATGACTGTGGGCACACAGAGAGCTTTCTGCTAAAATGAGAAATGTTTTTCCTAGCTTGTACTCTCTGTGTTGCTTAGACATCCCACACTAATCCAGAATATTTAACATGATGATGCAGTCTCTCTTAGTGGCCATCTGTCTCCTAATGAGTAAGAGCGAAGGTGAATATAGCAGCACACTGACATCTCGGCACAACTTTCTGGATTGGTAAGCAGCACATAGTGGTCATTTTTGGTGGCAAGCTAAGCGTAGCAGTCTTGGGTGTGTCAGTAAGGAAGATGTTGCAACATACGGATATTACTTCATGTTTCTTTTTTCATCGTGGTCAAGTTTGTTTAAGCTAAGTAGCTGTTTTTGTTAGTTCTAAGCTAAGTGCTTAAGTGCAGTGAAAAAGTATGTCTTTCTCACTTGTGTTCAAGCTGACCTGTTTTCAGCACCGCTGAGGATTTAGTTGCCAATTCTGGCTTTTTGGCTTTGTTAGCAATCCCCGTTCACCACAGTACCTGATGACTGATCAGCCGACCCGTTTTACTTCGTCAACATTCAGCTCTTATCAGCTCACTCAACCTGCTGCAGGAAATCTTACAGGCTGTATTATATCTAAGGCTGCTTTTTATATCTCGTTGGCATTCCTTCATAAACATGGCACACGTCTGTGAGTGGTCATTTCAGAGAAGAGGTCGAACTGTGGTTTTAGTGGCCAAGAAGCTCACTGTGATGTTAGAATGTGATCCCTCCACTCACATTATTAGGTTTCACTTTTTCCTTTACCGCTGGCAAGCCACGAGGAAACACGCCATTTTCCTGTGTAGTTGCATTGTGTTTAGAAGTTCAAAGGTTGTTTCAGTTGTTGGCATGAATGAGGGTATTTTTTTTGGCTGTTTAGTATTTGATAATTCAATCTTTTTTAGTTTAGACCAATCAGTTGCAGTTTACAGGGAGCAAATTCAATATACATTTTTAAAATTATTTTTTATTTTGAAGAAATGTTACCACTATAATAGACAATATAATAGAATTAACTCTTAACTCTTAATTTTTTTTAAGATGAAAACTAATCAGAGGGAATTAAAATGTCATCTTCCATGTATATGTACTTTTTGTAGCCATTTGATTTATTTGTAATAATTGTAAATATATTTAAATGTAATACAAAGACAACAACTTACATTAAATGTTTCCAATTGAATAGAGTTTGTTTGCAGAAGTGTAAAGTAACAAATTACAAATACTCCAATGACTGTAATTGAGCAGTTTTTCTCAGGAATTGTAATTTGCTAAGTAGTTTTATAAATGTTTACTTTAACTTTCCCTTGAGTACAGTTTTTTAGTGGAGTATCGGTACTTTTACTTCACTGTTTTCCTTCTACCTGCAGTGTCTACTTTATTTCTTTTTTGTCCATGGTGAATTGCTAAAGTTGAAAAATCTGTCCTGTGTTTCCTGTCCAGTCAAATCACACATAAAAGAAGTAAATTGCATCATAATGAACCACCTTAAAACATAAGTACTTGATAAATGCAGCAAACCTTTTGGAAGCTGTAAAAATGTCCAAGAGGATGTCCAAAATCTGTACATGCTATGACCCAGAGACTTTTTATAGACGGCATGTCACTGATGAGAAAATGAAGAATGTCGACTGTATGATGACTGAAAGCATCAGTTTGATTTAGATTACTGTTTGTAAATTCACTACCATTACACTAAACAATTTTTACAACCTTTAGAAAGCTTTCATTTTTCCTTGACCTCAAAATTATAATCTGTGATTTAGAAATCTGCTCAGACTTGTACCAACTGAGTACAGCAGCATGAAGTGGAAACACTTAGAATAGTAGGCAATAAACTTTTTGTCATCAAATTTAATAACATGAATAGTTACCTCTGGTTAACCCCTTGGCAATCCTGTAACTAAACACACATTAAGACTAGTGTCTTAATAATGCAAGAACATTCTGCCAGAAATCTACTAAAAGCCACAAGCCAGTATTATGTGGCCAGCACAG